CAACAGATGTCCTTCAATCCAATTAGACACAATTGCCAAATAAATAAATATATCCAATTACTCAAATCATATAAATATATAATTCAAGGTCAACCTTATGGATTTAAATGAATCCTTTCAACATTTAGGAACAAACAAATCATGTTCATTTCCAAGATTAAAAATAAAACATAAAACATGCCTTTTAGCAATCAGTGATAAATTAATCAAAATTGAGTACCACCAAAAATTGTCTCAATTGCTCAATCAATTAATTGATGTTAAACCTACGCATGCTTTTATCAATTCCAAAATAAACTGAATCCAATTATCATATTGAATCAAAAGCAATTCACTGGTATACAGTTGTTCCCAAAACAAATATATTCAAAAGGTAGCATGATCTTATGGATTCATAGTACAATTACCGAAACTAAATTCATAAATATAAACACAATATATATGAACTATCCATACCAAAAAATTTAAGTGCTAGAATCAAGCCAGCCAATGAAAACTTCACTCACAGAATTAATCAATCCAAATGAAAGGTAATGTGACTTGGCCAATAATTTCATACAAATACCAATACTGATGGATTCAGAATTCCTCAAAAAAATGGGCAAATCCCAAATCATGAAAATAATTCCATGCGGCCTTTTGATTTCATTAACAAGCGATTTGGAATTAATTGACTGCATCCATTTTCGAAACAGCAAATGCACAATCCCAAAATCGCAAACAACATGAATAAATTCGCAAAATAAAAGTGATTTCGCGGATTGCAATTAAATTGATTCCACAAACATTCAATATGAAGAGGCTCTGATACCACTTGTTGGAAATTTTAACCTTATGCGAAAACCGCTTTACCCCAGGAACATTCATATCGAATAATTGAGAATCAAACCGAATAAATGCGGAAGCGTACCGTACTTCATGAATTCATTTGCTTGATAATTCTCGTGTGTTGTGTTCTTCCAAACGATCTTGTTGGACTGATATGGTCTTCCAAACGATCGAACCTTATAGCAGATTTTGATCTGTAGTGTTTGTATTGGATATATGATTTTGTTATATTCAATTATTCTGAAGTGAGAAGGTGAGTGCTTTTAAAGGGAAAAAGCACCCCTTCATAAATCTGCTCGTGTCTTTTCGTCGTTTGGGGCCATAACCAAATAAATAAGAAATATTGATTTTCAGTTCGGTCCCTCAACAAACAGAAAATCACATAATGGTATCTACACTTTTAAATCCATAACAATTTGATACTCTCTTTATTCAAAATTACAAATTAGTAGATCACTTTAATTGAATAATATTATGACAACTATACACATTTAATTTACATATGTTGTCCAATAAAATATTTCTAACATTTAACGTACTCAAAAAAAATAAAATAATAATAATAATAATAAAAAAAAAATAATTGTTGCTAAATTACTTTGAAAAAAAAAGGTCATAACACTTTAGTGCGGCAATACTTAATTTTAATTTAGTAAAATAATAATATTTAACATTATTAATTTAGCAAAATTACTTTAAGATATTTCATAACAAAAACATTCATTTTTATTACAAAAACGTGATAGGTTGAACTATCTAATAACTAAGTTGTCATAAGAATTTGTGATTTTCATTCATTATTAACTATTTTAGCCTATATACTCCTTGCCTCAAGTTATTTTGGCGTTTCACACCAATTCAGAGCTAAAACAATAAGTACATTCTTAAGAGTAAATGTTTATAGACTACTCATAAAATTTTATGTAAAATGAACGACACATAATTTATAACATGAGGAATAAAATTGTGAATATATACACCCATTTTAATATACTTTAATGTCATTTATTCTTTAAAATCAAATGAGAAACAGAAATTATTTGGTCCCAACATTGAAACATACATTTGGCCACAGGCCAGAAAATGTCACAATTCACAAGAAGACATAATTTAAATGGGCATTTGACTAAAGTGCACACTAAACCAATTTGAAATATACAGAACATTTTTCCAAATGCGTGTAAACTTTAATCTCGACCGTATAAATCTTATCACACGTCTCAATCATCTTTAATTGACTATCAATGCTTCTGGTATATTCAGGAAAAAATGGGTTATTAAGAAAATAGCTTTTTTATTTATGTCTATTTGAGATAACATGAATTAGTTAATTAATGATCATTTCTGGTAGTGAATGATACATCTTACCAAAAGAATTCTATTTCTTGTAGCTTATATCAAAACCTTAGTTATCGAGATACGCATTTGCACTGAAAATTCAATAACTAGACATTGAAGGTTTAATCTATTAAAAAACCATCTCAAGAAATTGATTGATGAAACTCAGAAAAGAAGTAAACATTTTGCATCAATTTGTTTCCCTCAGTTATTATCCTAAATTTTGTTATGTAATACTAGTACACAAATTTTTTTTGCGTCTAAATAATTTTTTTTCTTTTAAAACTCAACTCAGCTGAAAACATACAAATCTGACAATTAATTATGTGATATCATTAATTTTGATGAATTGAACACAATTATTATGGGTTATGAACTTGTACCTTTTTTTTGCCCAAATTAATGAATGTTGATATCAATTAATTTTAAAAAGGATTGGTATTGAAATAAAACTCAAATTTTTAAAAGCATTATTTGTACCAAAATTGAGCAATTTGGTTACCAAAACTGAGTATCCGTGATTGAAGGCATATTTAAATGATTTTCTCATTTAATAAATAGAAAATAAAAACAAAACTTGCCCAAAATGGTATGCAATTAATTTTACCAAATTTTTTTGCTTACTATTTTTGGTAAATAGTAATTCTTATTATATATATATAGATTAGCATACGTACGTGATGTACTAGTTTTCTTATAAATAAACTGGATGAAATATTATCCAATATTATCTTTACTGATTTATTTTATTTCTCATGATATGCTTATATATATTATTATAAAATTGACAAAAATCTAGAATTTTATTTATATTATTCGAAAAATAATTAATAAATTTACTTATTCACTAATTTGTAAAAAATAGTATATGATAAATATTTTTATTATTTTCGTTAATTAATTAACATGGTGGTTTGATACACAACTAGAATTAATCCTGTGCATTTGCACAAGTTATCAAAAATAAATTGATAAATAAATATTATACATAAAAATATTAATTAAAATAAAATTTATTAATATTATGTATCACATTTATAATTGAATCATTACATCAATGACTCTAAGTTGGATTTTTAAAACTAAAAAATAAAACAATATAAATGTTGATTTACCATACATTAATGACTATTATTATATGAATATAATGAATCATCTAATTTTTATACTCCTTGAGTATTATATTAATAAAAAACATAAAATTATAAACAAAGTAAAAAAAATTAAAATGGACAACACAAATGTTATATACCATATAAATTGATATTTTTAGAGAATTATTGTACAAATGAACTACATACTATATTTATACAATAAAATACATGTACGTGTAGATTATTTCATCTAATAATTTTTCACTTATAAGCAAATACTTATATGGTATTATTTCATTATAAAAATATGTGGTCATTACTAAAATATCACAATCGCTTATTACAAATTAATTAGAATGATTTTTTCTTTTTTCACAAATATGAAGGTAAAATAAAGAACTATTGCATCTCAATAGACTAATGTATAAAATTTATCTATGTTACAACAATTAAAATTTTAATTTTGAATAATAATTGAAAAAAAAAATATGTTAATTAAACTAACATTAATTTACATTACTAAAATGAATGTAGAAAAAAATAGGTAGGATTTTTTATGAATTAATAATGGAATTCTTATAAATGAAAGCACAAAATAATAGATATGATTATGATTTATTTTTATAAATTTATTTCTAAGGCAAATTCAAATCTATGTATTACTTTACTTCTAATAATTCCTTAAAAATCAAATTTAATGTATTAATTACCAAAAGAATGGATATATTATTGTAATGGTTACATCAAATATATAATATTACTTACCAAATTAACAAATAGTGCAATTATACTAATTTTTAAGACAACCATTACAACTTTATTAAATATGAACTAAAATATTAATTATAAATCAATAGATGTAACCACAAATAAAATAGAAGTTAAAACAAACTATAAATAGCTCAAAAATATGGGCGGAAAAAAGTAGGCTATTGCATTAATGTAATAACCTACAATTATATATATATAGATACGGTATTATCTCTTTTACTGTCACATACCTGATGTTTGAAAGAGTTGTTTACATGCATTCACAATTTATTTATTTAAATCCTATACAATATAAATAAATCAAAAGTATATTAGCTTTCAATCTTTCACTTGACCATTTCAATGTAATTAAATAGTTTCCTATCTTACGCTTATGATTCTAAAAAGTCATAGTTTTCAAATTATATTATTTATAAACTATAAACTATCTATTCTTTCTAATCATTAATAAAAATGCATGTTTTGAATAATATTAATTTTTCCTTCTTGAATCAATCAATTATTTATTTCTTTTCAAATTATTAAAAATACATGTTACAAATCTTATCAATAGTCAATACACATTATGATATACACTATCATAAATATATATTTTTTTTTAAATCAATCACAGTTATTACTCTTTCCCACATAGCATGATCACATTAAACTATATAACCCGAACTATATAAACCCCATAAACCATAATTTTATTCCGCATAACACCGTGTTTGTTTTTTCTTCTCTTGTTTATTTTTTCGTTAATTAAAAGTTCAATCCAATAATCCAAACAAACAAAATACGTTAAAAACTGTGGCTTAGTCAAACTCAAACCACTCATTCTTGGCAGCAATTATTTCTCCCTTTTATAAATGGGTGACACATTGCAAATTTTCCTCCCTCACTTTATCCATAAAAAAATTAAATTATTTAATTCCACAAACTCATCTATAATATTACAATCTCATTTTATTATCATATGATCAAAATTCAAGATTTCTGTTCATATAATGGGCAATGTCTCATCTTCATATCATCCCACAACAAGAAGACAATTGGCCGGAGCAAAAGAAATAATACCGATTCCGGCCAAGGTGGTGACTCCCGACGGCCGATTGGAGGAGTTCCGGCGGCGGACCACCGCGGAGGAGGCGGTTTCCGGCCACCCGAGCTGCTACCTATGCAGCTCGGACTCCATGGCGGTGGGCTCGGCGGCCCCCCGGCTGCCCGAGGACTACGTTTTACAATTTGGGCAAATTTATTTCATATTGCCACTCTCGAAAGTGCTAGTGCCACTCTCGCTTCAAGACTTGTGCGTGCTGGCCATCAAGGCCAGCGTGGCGATTGGCAATAGCGATTCGGCGGGTTTGACGGGCGGGTCGGGATCGGGTCGGGTTCCGTTCCGCAAGTCGAGTTTACGGGTTAGGAAGCAAGGACCGTATGGCGATTTCTTGTCGTGCCCGAAATTGGCTTCTCTGCGAAAGATCAAAAGTCTTCCAAGATGATGAACATATTCATTTTCTATTCACACGGTATAGTAAAAAAAGTTACCAAATGTCAACTCATTTTAGGTTAAGTTTTTTTTTTTATTATTATTTTTTTTCCTTCCTTGAATCACCTCTTTTCATAATGCTACTCGCTTTTAATTTTTTTTCCTTCCAAAATTAGTGTCTAGATTTCAAAAAAATAATCAAATAAGCTCGTTAACAAATAAATTAACTGGTGAACGTGATTGGACAACATTAATTTTAATTAATTTGTGAACCTGATTGGGGAACATTAATTTTATGAAGTTATCGAATGATTTTTTTATGGAGTCATCCATCATCACTTAATTTATTGACACTTGTCTAAAGTGTATTTATTGTATGACACGTGTCAATACACTATTTGTGAGTAAGTGTGGATGGTTCCATAAGTCGTATCATTCAATGGCTCCGTAGCAAAACTAGATTGAGCGAAACTCTAAATGAGGCTCAATTCGCTAATAAACGAATGAGTTCTATATTTTTTCGATATACATAATTATATACTTTTGTCACATTAAAAAAATACGTAAAAAAAATACAATATTTTATAATATAAATATGCATCTTTGTTATGAAGATATGATTGTCTAATTAATGGTTTCAATTGGCGATTTACGAAATAAGCATTTGATAAATATCGAAAATATTGTTACGTATAACTTTTTCTTTAATCATCTCTTCTCAACATGTTGCTTGCTTATATTAAAAAAAATAGTCTTTAAGTCCAAAAAGGTAATACATTAAGGTCATTATAAAACAAATTAATTAGCGAGTTTGATTGGGCAAAATCTAAATGAGGTCTAGTTCGCTAATAAATGATGAGTTCTATATATATATTTTTTTATAAACTTATATACTTTTGTCATATTAAAAAAAAATTACATAAACAAAAATGTGATATTTTATAATATGAATATGCATTTTTGTTATAAAGTTATGCCGAGACAATGAATTTTTTGAATACATCCATATGTGCAAACTAGGACATGTAAAATTGTTATTTACAAATTTCAATAAACTTACAAATTTCAATAAATGATAATCCATGGAAATGGTATTGAAAAGGAAAGTGAAAAATGGGCAATCTCTAAATGGATAAGTGGAAAATATAAGAGGGGAACCACCCAATGACCCATCATCTTTTTCATTGAGTTCCATATTTTTGATGTTACAGTTGAACTGCAAGAGTGGGGCATTTTTGGATTTATTTTCCATTGAAATAAAAGAGTAATGGGGTTACTTATCATATATACATGGCAAAAACAGTTTCGGGCCAAGGGTTGTACGGCCCTGAACAGGCACGAACATATGCACGTGACGGTTCAGTGAACTGTTGTTTCCAGGTGGCCCGATTCATTTAAAAAAATTAAGAAAATAATTACAAAAATAAGAAAGGGCTGAATTGTCAATTCTTATTACAGTTTGAAATCAACCCGACAGTTCAAGAAGTACATATATGTGGCCCGAAATCGGCCCAATCAAACCATGGGTCCAATTCGAGGCCCATTGAGCAAAGGCCGGTTTGGCCCATGGTCAAATGTAGGGCCATCATATTCCAACATTTGGCTGGTCACCTATAAGTTGCTAATGAATTGAAAGTATTCTCTTTTGTTTCTTTTGCTTGGTTGGATATATGGATCTTTGCCAATTGCCATGCTTGGCGATTGAATTTAAACGCGGCCCATAGAATGTGTTGGGCTTTATCCATCACTGTTGTTATTGGGCTCTATTATCTTGAGCGTTTACGTATATTACAAGAACGGCAACTCTCATTCCATGGTCGAGACGAACTTAACCCTTAATAAATCAAACTAATTTAAAAGTTAAAAAAAATATATAAAATTCTATGCGAACGAATCTAACTAGCCTTAACTAAGCAATCTCAATCTCTAACCTTAACGAGCCAAGTCGAGTCGAGTTGAACTCACAATCAACTCATTTTATTTATGATTTAACTACTCTAGTCTCTAGTTTTATAACCAACCCCAATATTTTTTTTCCCTTTCTTATCCTCTTTTTTTATTCCCAAGTAATACAAACACACTCTATAAAAAAAAAGGTAATTAAAAAATTAAAACACTGTATCATATAACTTGCGAGAAATGCTATAGTTACATAATATTGTACATGGGGGTGTAAATAACACTCATATTGAGTTGGGCCCACTAAAAATAAAAAATCAAGTGAACCCCACTCTATGTGAGTGCTATGTACACCTCTATATACATTTATTATGTATTTGTACTATTTTTCATAACTTGCATGAGTTTTTAAACAAGTGATTCATTCAACTCAAGCTTTTATTCATCATTTGACAATAATTGTTATTCTTACAAACAGAATAGGAAAATAAAATAAAATACTCCAACCTCTGAGACATATTATAATAGAATAATTTTATATAACACCATGGAAAATAGAGAAAATTAAGGCTTCATTTCAGTTTTTATAGCAGCAACTAAATGGTCATAGGCCACACTCCAAGCCTTCTTCATTTCTGGTGACCACATTTCTCCACTTGCTTCTTTAATTGTCTCCAATAATGCATATTTTGTCACCTGTAATTATTTTAATAAATGTAACATAAGTAAATCTTCTCATTGTGATTGATTAGGTTTAAATCAATTTTTTTTTTTTTATTATCACAAAAATCTTTGTCACAAAAGTGACTGTCTCTCAATTAAGGTGATAAATCGTATTATTCATGTTATCTATTTTATTCGATCACGAGTATTTAATTATATTATATTACCTCAAAATGCTCATCAACAACGCCATATTTAAAATGGACTGCGCCTAATTTCTTGAGAGTCGAATCCCTAATCACAACTTTCCCTGCTTTACGGAGCTGAACCGCAGCTTCACATGTCTGCGAAATTTTTATTTCAATCATTTTCATACAATATTAATAAATAGTTAAACTAAGGATCAAATATTTTTATCACACAATTTATACAAACACTCGACTTACCATAATAAGCACAGTCTTAGCATGTGGTTTGAGCTTAGGATTTTGCTCAAGTGGAACATTTGAATCTCTTAGAAAAGAGAACAATTTTTGAGCCGATGGAGCTATCTCAAAGATCCTAAATTCAATAACAACACAAATTTCATAAAATTACATAATCCAAAAAAAAAAAAGGATAAGTAAATCAAATAAGTTCATATTAGTTTTTTATTTATTTATTTTTTTTTATTTTTACATGAGAAAAAGTTTGAGGCCCCATTCGCCGGCATCCTTCTTCATCAAGTTCCATGATTTTACGACCAGAGCTTCTTGTTCTTCGGTGAACAAGATCGCATCTCCATCTAAAAGATCAACGGAAAATAAAAATAAAATATGATAAATCAATCTAAGAAAAGAAAATTTATGAGCATATAAAGTAATAAACCAAATAAAAAGAAAAAAAAATGATACTAACCCTTTATGGTATTACTATTAGCCATGGCTTGCTTATTTTGGTAGTAAAAATATGATTTTTTGGACAATAAAATGAACACTTTTGGATATATGCAAATGTTGATTGCTTAGTGAGTAAGGACAAAAATTGATTGATTTAAGTGTTATATAATGAAGTAAGATTGGCCCTTGAGAAGATTGTAGAGCTGAAGATCTATAATAACTGAATTTTGAGATGACAATGAAACCAATGGACTTTGTGCAGTGGAACGTGGTTTTCTCTTACCGGGGAGGTCGTGGCAGCCGCTGATTGGGTGCCCACAAGACAACTTTATTGAATTTAAGTGATGGGTTTATTAATTAATTATTATGCGGATATTATAAACAATTCAAATTGGATCTAGAGAGTCTGGATATTTTTCACATTTTCGGTTTTGTGTACGTTTTCTTATAAACAATTACTCGTACGACACTTGTGTACTATACGAGTGCATGAAAAATAATTTGAACAACAAAAGTAAAAGAATTTAGTATTGTAGTATATATAAAATAAATAAATAGAAGAAATCCAGTTAGAATATGGTGTTATAGTCTCGTTTCGAATCCAATTCAAGATTTTGGAGTGTGAAGAAATTTGTTACCATATATTCGTCAAAAATTTAGAAACATAGATAACCCAATTATCAAATAAAAGAATTTAAAAAAATAATGTAGATATGGTGTTAGTTAACTCAATTACCAAATAAAAGAATATAAGAAAATTAAGTAACAAATAAAACATTGTTAACTCAATAATCAAATAAAAAAAATATTGTTAACTCAATTATTAAATTCAAGTGATCTTTAAAATGGAAAAATGAAATAAGAAATAAAGATTTGTATGATCTTTAAATTCAAAACAAATTTGGTAAATGAAAGAGAGATTGATGAGATATGATGATATATGATGGAAACCAAGCCAATTTTGTTTCCAATTTTTTATCCTAACCTAAATACAAAGCATGATATTGTGACATGCAAGATTTCAAAGCGTGCGAGCCTGCCATTTAAGCTCAGCACGTTTTGAATTAAACTCAATTATCAAATAAAAGAATATTAAAAAAATAATGTAGATATGGTGTTAGTTAACTCAATTACCAAATAAAAGAATATAAAAAAATTAATTATCAAATAAAACATTGTTAATTCAATAATCAAATAAAAGAAATATTGTTAACTCAATTATTAAATTCAAGTGATCTTTAAAATGAAGAAATGAAAAAGAAATAAAGATTTGTATGATCTTTAAATTAAAAAAAAAAATTATATATATATAAAGAGGAGCAACAAAGCATTAAATTTTATTCTCCCTTCAAAATTTTCAGCATTCAATTTCATTTTTAGGTTACAAAATAGCTTGTTTGAATGCCATAAATTATGAGCATAAATCAATCAAGGGAGTTACAAAACTGTAGTCAAATTTTAAGTCACCCACTCATTTTCGTATTAGCATAAATAAAATAGTTGTAACGGCTCTTCCATAGCAATTACTTGATCAAAATCAATTTTGAGAATTATTTTCTTAATTCATATTTTTTTTCATGAATTAAATTATGATTTTTTTTTATATTGTTATCTTTTTAAAGTATTCTTCCTTGTGTAAATGCACAGGTTGATTACTAGTAGTAATGAAAGAGGATTGATGAGAGATAATAATAATGGTGGAAAAATTAATTGTGGCACTTTTCAAGCCAATTTTGTTTTCAAATTTTTTATCCGAATTCATATACAAAGCATGATATTGTGACATGTAGACTTTCAAGCGTGCGAGTCTGTCACTTAGACTCAGCACGTTTTGAATTAAGGGGAAGGAGGGATTATTATTTTTCATTTTCCAATAACTTTGTTTGGCTCTCCCAAAAGAAAAATAAAAAAATTATGTTATTAAAATAATCAACTTAGATATATTATTAAAAGCTGTTAAATATATTTATAAGTTTCATATAGTCATATATCAAGCGTTCAACAAAAAATCAATTACTTGATTTAACAATTAAACAACAGGGCCGTCTCCAACATTTTTTGGGCCCAGAGCGAAAAATAAAATTAGGCCCCCCTAATTACAATATTGAATAATATATTTTTAATATTTTATTAATAACAACTTCCACTTCTCAAGTAGGAAAGAACCTCCCCCGGATAGACAAAACACAAAAGGCTCTTTCTATATATTATTATATTTTTTATTTATATTATTATATATATAATATTTTAATATTTATATATGGGGCCCCAATTAATTGGGGGCCCTGTGCAGTTGCTCACCCTGCTCCCCCCAAAAGCCGGCTCTGTAATAAACAATGATAATTAAGTTAATTCAAACTCCACAAATATGAACAATATTATTTTTCAATAGATAATAGTGACTAATAATTTATATTAGCAGTGTTTAAATGTGTTTAAAATTAAATTTATACTGCTATTTCATATAAATATACATGTAATTTTTTTTCTTTTTAAATATTGGGCGGGCTAACTTGCAGTCCATCGGCGAGGCAGGGCTGGCTGCCGTTAACGAGGTCCATCAGCCCATCTTTTACTTATGGGTAAGGTCGAACTTACTTTTTTGAGAGAGTGATACTAAATACCAATCATATTCCATTAATTTTCCCATTATTACCACTTAATTACTTTCTTTTCCCATTTGTTGTGGTTTTACAGAATATAAGCACATGTATTTACTCTTATTTTTTACTCGAGTTAATATTTCCACCAATTAATTGAATCTACTTAAATATACAATAAACAAAAGTTAAAAAAGAAAAGCTCATGAAAATTCAACCTACCTCTATTTTTTCTTCGAGTTTTCAGAAAGAAGATTTCCATCTCACCCAAAACCATAGCTCACGTCTGGCCTACCAGCCCATCCCCATCAGGCCCACTACCCACTTAAGCGGGCCACACGGCCCAAATTTCCCACATTTGCCGTCCGGCCCGTGATCGAGATTTCTAAGAACACCATGCTTAATGGAGCATGCTTCCAAATGTTTGATATCTACACACTGAATAAGTTTAACTAGAAAATCACACAATTAGAATGAACAAACGTCACAACATTTTTAGTGCCTAAGAGATTTTTCCTTCCCAATCTTCAACAATATCCCAACATCAACATAGGAAGAAAAAGGACATAAATATAATGTATTCTGCTTTTTGTTATGCCTAGTCTTTGGTATACTAAACAGAACAACTATCAAGTAAATAAATGTAGTAGATCACACTTTTATTTTATTATATTTATCCGCTCTTACAAATACTTTTCATGCAATAAAATCAAGAATCATATAACAAATTCTTTGTTTTAAACCAATCTCATATTACATTGGATGAAACATTCTATATGATACTTTTTTTTTTTTTTTTTTTTCGAAATGAAAGAACTTAAATAGAAAAAAAACACATAAGTACAACTAGATTCCAGCACAACAGCTGAATAAGGCAGCTAAAGAGCCGAACTGAAATGCAGACAATGAAATCTCACATTTTTATCACCTAACAAGTTCTTTTGATAGTACAAAACCGAAGGCGAAATCGTACGGAATCCAATCGACTTTCTTCCACAACTTTCCGAGTCGACCATTCTTGATTCCCATTGAGTCGGACAGCAAATGCTCGACCTTTTGTGCTATGCCCGATTGAGCTAAGCCACCAATCTCCTTCACAAAATGCTCGACTTTTTTCGGTACCAACAAATTAAGGTCTTTATGAAGCTTCACATTCATCTGAATGTAATCTTCTTTAGCCATCTCTAGCTCTTGGAACACTTTCTTCGAAGTGTACATTCGAACCTTTAAAACGAAAAAAAATGCAGAAATTCCACTGAGGTTTCGTCTAATTATAAAAAGGTACCTCTAAAAGTTTCGAGTTTACACAAAGTCGACTTACGGTTGGGTCGGATTTGCATCCGGAGCAAAGAGCGAAATGCAGCCGAGGCTCAAGGGACTTAACTGCAAATGCATTCATAGGATCCCCGGCTTTAAATCTTTTCTTGGGGAAAAACAAGGAATGTAGCCACTGAAAGAAAGAGCCTTTTTCGTAAATATGTTAAACATCAGGGGTAGTTTTCATAATTAACCCAAAAACACTGGATCGCATCGAAAAGCTCGACTTACCGGATTCGGACGAGGCAAACGACAACCTAAGATAGAACTTTGTATTGTGTCCACACTTATGGTATGGCCTCCAATATTGTATGCAGCCTAAACAAAACAAAGATTGTTGAACTTAGCTGAAGAAAAATAAATGATTGGGAAAAATGCATTTTAGTCCTTTTGGTTGAACGTCATAGCAATTTTAGTCCCAAGTTTCCAACTTTTCGCCTTTTGGTTCTGTGATTCAATATTTTGCTGCAATTTCAGTCATTTAAAATTGAAATTGCAACAAAATTTTAAATTAAGGTATGAAATTGCAAATCAAAAATTCATCCCAAAGATATAAATTTGGGAACTTGTTGCAATTTTAGTCCTTAAATAACTGAAGTTGCAGCAAAATATTAAATCACATGACCAAAAGGCAAAATGTTAGAATGTTGAGACTAAAATTGCTATAGCGTTAAATCAGCCGGACTATAAATGCAATTTAGCCTAAAATGATTATAGAAGTTGTTAAATTTAAGTTAGTATTAATCTTTTTATATCTATACCTTGAGTACTAAAGACACCCTCTTAAGACTTCCTTTGGGAATCCCATACACCAGATATGCCTACATAAATTACATTAAAAAAAAAAAAGAATAAAAGAAAAAATGATTTATTTAAGTTTAAAAAAAAAAAAATCTTACATGCATAACTAATGCATTGTGGACATTAATCCAGAATGCTAATCTCTCATCATGCCTTAACTTCCCAGGATTAACTTGGGCCAATTTAGAAATCAGAGACCTAAAAAAACATTTTTCACATATTTGCATATTTTTAACAATAGCAAGATAAATAAACCCTTAAACATTTATGTATTCTTCACTCACTAATATAATACCTGTAACTATGTAACATGTCCTGAACAGAATTTATCTTCTCTGAGTCTCTTACAAGGTCATGTATCTCGAAAGTCGCGGAGAAACTTCCGGAAAGTTCTTTGTCGAGCCACGAGTCTAACGGCAAATTATCCATATCAGAGAGGTGAAAATAGACGGTCGAGATGCATTTGATCATCTCTTCAGATACCCAATTAGGCGTCTCACGAACATTGTACACCGTCCGATTTTCATTTGTAATCCCATCATTAGTCCTCTAATAATGAATAATCAAAGGAACCAAATTCGTGATAAATTAATCAGACAACAATTTTTATTTTCAACTGAACATTGAACTAATTTAAGACTAGCTAGCTACCTCCAACATGGATAAAGGCAACGAATGATAAGTGTCCAAGGCCTCGAAAGTTGGTGAAGAAGCCCTAAACGAACAAGCCGAGATATGAGATAACGACGAGTGTGTTCGGAATATTCCGGAATATTCTTCGTTGGCTGATTCTAAGCTAGCTTCCGGTTTTCGCTCCTCTGCTCGACTGGATAGAGCAAACGAGAGACTTTTGGCGAAATTTTTTCGGTACAATGAGAGGAGATATTTTTCGAGGTACAAGATTTCTAATTCGAGACGAGAAATTTCTCGGACAAGATCCTCTACTGGCTGGTAAAAAATGTTATGACATGAAAAGCAATCAAGAATTATTATTTTGAGAGTAAGTGTGAAAAAAAAAAAATGAATGTTTGATCTATTAGTAGTAGTTTATTTAGTACCTTAGAAATTGATTTATACATAGGATCATCAAAGAAAGGCGGGCAATTTATCGCGTTCTCTAGCGATAAACGTAAGGCCGATTGGCAATCGAGCTCTTTATGAAGCTGTTCAATCTATACATTGATTGAAATGTAGAATCATATATGAATTATGAACCACATTAAAGAAGTTAAAAAAAATGAAAATAAGAAAGGAAACTGTGAACATTATGTTTAAAAAA